CTTGCATTTTCGTTAGCACATAAAAACATGGTTATAGCTCCTCTTTAAAATCCCTCTTGATTCTAAACCTCTCAGCCCTACCTACAAAAAAGCTTAAAAAGCTATTCCTGAGGTACCACCTGGCTCACTCCCACATTTCCTTAGGTCTCTGCCTTCTGTATGTAAGATTGTTTCCCTCCAGCTGACCATAACATTAAATGTTGGTAGCAGAGATTTTTGTTTTGGTCACTCGTGTATCCCCAGTACTGAGAGCACGTAGTGCCTAGAAAGTTGTAGGTGTTACATAAATATTTTAATGAGTTTCTTTAAAAGGCTTATAGAAAGCTAGGCACAGTGGCTCATACCTGTAATTCCAGCACTTTGGGAGGCTGAGGTGAGAGGACTGCCTGAGCCCATGGGTTCAAGACCAGTCTGGGCAACTTGGTGAGACCTCGTCTCTACAATAAATAAATAATTAGCTGGGTGTGGTGGCATGTGCCTGCAGTTTCAGCTACTTGGAAGGATGAGGCGGAAGGATCGCCTGAGCCCAGCAGGTCGAGGCTGCGGTGGCCATGAGCGTGCCACTGCACTCCAGCCTGGGCGACAGAGTGACTCAAAAAACAATAAAAAACAAATAAAAGGAGTTTAGAATATGTAGAACTTTGCATTCCCTCTCTTCTCACCTGCCAAACGTCTTGTAGAATAAGTTCTGCAGAAAAAATAATGGGCTGAACAATCTGGAAAGAAGTGCTGCTGTGGTGTGTGAGGCCCCAGCCCCTTCAGGATCCTTTGCCCTGACACTGCTGAGATTTCACAAACGAACATTATATTTTGCAGTGTGTTCTTAAAAGTTGGACTTTGTAGCATGTGGTATTCTTTTTAAATTGAGAAGATGAAATTGTAATTAGAAGTGTTAAAGTCTCATACTCCTACCACCATACAACTTAGTATCATGACCATTTTTCCAAGTTATTAGTCTTCATAATTTTAGAAGACTACGTAAAAGTCCATCCATGTTATGCCGTATGAGGAGAGGACTCAAAAAACCCTGAATTTATAAAAAATTGTGTATTTATTCTTACATGTTTAAACTTCAGTCACCTCCAAAGTACTCTCCATTTGATGCATTATACCTTTTGAGACACTTTTTCTACTGCTCAAAACAGTTTTTGAACTCACATCAATTTTTGATGCCTTTTAGCTCATCTGCCGTTTATTCCACCTCTTCCACATTGGCAAAACGTTTCCTTTTGAGAACTTTTCATCCGAGGAAACAAAAAAAAAATGTTGCTTCGGGTGTGATTGAGTCAATAGGGAGGGTGGGGCATGGGTCATGTCATTTTTGGTTAAAAACTGCTGAACACTCAACTCGGTGTGGACAGTGTGCTCCTAAATCATGCATCATGAAATAGACAAAATAATTTCCATAAAAAAATTCACTGAAGCCAAACGCAGCCTCAACAATGCTAGCTGGTACACTTAATTATTTATATAAGTGGCTAACACTGGCAGAGTCCTTACTATACCAGACCCTACATATATGCATCATGACAACATTTTGGTTAAGGATGGACTGCATATGTTAAGGTGGTTCTGTAGAGTTTTATGGAACTGAAAATTTTTTACTTCTTAGTGACGCCATAGCTTCATAATGTCATAGCACAATGCATTATGTTTGTGTGATGCTTGTGTAAGCAATCCTGTACTGCCCAAAGGGTAGCAAGTACAATTATGTACAGCACATAATAATTGTTAGTAAAAGGCTATGTTCTTGATTTATATATTTACTATTTATCATTAGAAGTATGCTGCTCCTATTTATAAAATCAAAGTTAACATTAAAACAGCCTAAGGCAGATTTTTCAGGAGACACTCCAGAAAAGGGCATTGTCATAGGAGGTAACAGTGTATGCTATTGCCCTGAAGACCTAGTGGGATAAGCTGTTCTGTAGAAAAGATGTGAAGGTAGAAATGATGTTGATGATCCTGACCCTGTGTAGGCCTAGGCTAATGTGTCTTAGTTTTTAACTAAAAAGTTAAAAAGAAAAAAGCCAGGTGTGGTGGCACACTCCTGTAGTCCCAGCTTTCCCAGCTACTCCTTCAAGGCCAGAGGACCACTTGAGCCCAAGAGTTTGAGTACAGCCTGGGCAACAAAGCAAGGCACCATCTCAGAAAAAAACCCAATAAACAAAAGTTAAAAAAAAAACCTTAAAAAATAGAAAAAAGCTTATAGCATAAGGATAGAAAAAAATTTGTACAGCTGTATGATGTATCTGTTTTTTATGCTGTTATCACACATAAGTAAAAAAGTTTAAAAGTTTACAAAGTAAAAGTTACAGTAAGCTAAATTTACTATTGAAGAAAATTTAAAAAAATAAAGTTAGCATAGGCTAAGTGTACAGTCTTTATAATGTTTACAGTTAGTATTCAGCAAAGTCCTAATGAAGCATATGTGTATACCTAACCCTTAACTGTACCCCACAATATCATCATAAAAAATATTGATTCAAACAAACAAACAACAAAAGAAAACATTTTGGGCCAGGCTTGGTGGCTCAGCCTGTAATCCCAGCACTTTGGGGGCCGAGGCTAGTGGATTGCCTGAGCTCGTGTGTTCAAGATCAGCCCAGGCAACTTGGCGAGGCCTCATCTGTACAATACAGTCCTGCAGACTCCATCCATGTTAAGTTTTCTATACTATTAAAAAAACATTTTGTGGGGAGACACCTCTTATCAACAAGGGTGCCTGAATGAAGCATATTTGTATACCTAACCCTTAACTGTACCCCACAAATAATCATCGTAAAAAATATTGATTCAAACAAACAAACAAACAACAACAACAGAAATTTTGGGCCAGGCTTGGTGCCTCAGCCTGTAATCCCAGCACTTTAGGAGGCCGAGGCTAGTGGATTGCCTGAGCCCGTGGGTTCAAGACCAGCCCAGGCAACTTGGCGAGGCCTCATCTCTACAATACATAAAGAATTAGCTGGGTGTGGTGGTGCGCACCTGTAGTTCCAACTACTTGGAAGGCTGAGGCAGAAGGATCGCCTAAGTCCAGCAGGTTGATGCTGGGGTGGCCATGAGTGTGCCACTGTACTCCAGTCTGGGCGACAGAGAGACTCCAACTCAAAAAAAAAAACAAACCAACCTTTTATACCACATTTTTTTCTGTACTTTTTTCTATGTTAAGATACACAAATACTTTTTTTTTTTTTTTTTTTTTCATTAATCAGTAGTTTTTATTATGGTTTTGTGGGGTACAGTTAAGGGTAGGTGTACAATGACGTTTCATTCAGGCACCCTGTAGATAAGAAGTGTTTTCCCATCCCCCGACAGATATTTGCTACTGTTAATCCCATCCCCCTCCCCCCCATAGTTTCCCAGTACCATCCGTCATTTTCTCATAGTATTGCATTGGATGTTCAAGGTCCATTATATGAGTGAGAACATGAAGATACACAAATACTTAATCACTATGTTACAATTGCCTACAGTATTCAGTGCAGTAACACGTACAGGTTTGTAGCCTAGGAACTGTATGTAGGCTGTGCCACATAGCCATGTTGCGTAGCCAGGAGAGACTAGTCCCAAAGATCTGAGAAATTTCAAAGAGAGTTTGTTCATGACACGGTGGGGAAAGTTTATTCACTTCTCCTTTAAGTGATAAGGTCTTGAGCAAATTATCCAATCTTAAGTCTCAGTTTCCCAATCATGGAATGATATCTCCACCTCTGGGGTAATTACTGTGAGGGATGAATAATGCAATCTGTGTAAGAAACTAAGCAGAGCACCCAGTAAATATTACACACACACACCTCTTTTCCTAGAGAGCCAAATGCTGGAGAGGTAGAGTACAATTACGAATACAAAGGTTGTTTGTATTTGTTCCGTAATAATGTAGTTGACCAACACAAATTCATTTTTAAGACTTAATGAGCAAGAATGAATGAGGAGGCAGTCTCTGGCATTAGGCAGTTTCATTGTGTGGTCAGGGAGATGGATGTGGGGGTGTACAGGAGGGGAGAAGACACTAAAGGTGTGGAGTCTGAGGAATAAGGGGGCTTCTTAGAAGGGGCTAGGGAAAAAGGGGCCCAGGTCAGGGAAAATGGGTGACTCTGCTGGTTTCTGTTCTGTGTACCCAGAAGAGCCAAACTCGTACACTTGCCCAAACAAAACCTAGATACTGCATCTTTGTGGAAGGGCACGAGTCAAGTGTGGAGGGCCGGCTGGGCTGGCTCTCACAGGCCTCAGTGACCAGACAACATACTACTCCTGACTACAGTAACTCAAAGGTGTAATACCAAAAAAAAGAGGGCTTCTTGCTGTTAATCTTCTTTTACCTCATTTTTATAATATCTTACTCATTTTCTCCTTGTAAGACGCCTGAAATACTTTCTGGAAAAAAGTAGATATGAATAAGTAAAGAGATGGAGAGGAAATTATGGCCTGTTACTTTTTAAGAGAAAAGTCTCCTGAATCTGGATTGGATTAGGTAATTATCATCATTGCTTGCATTTGTTGTCATAGTAGGATGTGCTCTTTTAATTTCTATTTTTTTGAGTCAAAGTTTCACTCTTTCCCAGGATGGATTGTAGTAGCATGATCACAGCTTACCACAGCCAGGCGATCCTGCCTCTTCAGCCTCCTAGGTAGCTGAGACTATAGGCACATGCCACCATGCCTGGTTAATTTTGTAGAGACAAAGTCTGGCTATGTTGCCTAGCTGGGAACTCCTGGGCTCACATGATCCTCCCATCCCAGCCTTCTGAAGTGCTGGGATTACAGGTGTGAGTCACCACCTCTCACTTATTTTCTCTTTTTTTTTGTGACGAGGAAGATGAGGCTCAGAGTTTAAGTTACTTGCCTAAAGCCACACAACAAATAGCTTGGGTAGGAATTTGGTTCAACAGTTTATATACTCTTAACCTATTCCCCTAAAGTAGAGCAATCTACTTACCCTTTTTGGCCTTGGTTTGTTTTCTGGTTATCTATTGACATATAACAAATCATTCCAAAACTTAGTGGCTGAAAACAATCATTTTATTATTATTCCTCATGGTGCTGGGCTTTGAACACAGTGAGGCAGTTCTTACTCGGTTCTCAGTCAGACGGTGGCTGGGCTGGAGTCATCTTGAAGGCTTCCTCACTCATGCCTGACAGTTGATACTGCTGACAGCCGAACATGTACACGTGGCCTCTCCATGTGGCCTAAGCTGCTTCACAGCATGGTGGTTGGGTCCCAAAAGCTAGAGTCCCAAGAGACAAGTGGAAGCTGCTAGTTCTTAAGTCCTAGACTGGGAGACTGGCATAGAACCACCACCACTATATTCTATTGATCAGTCACAGTCAAGATAAAAGTGAAAAGATGGAGACACCACCTCTCCGTGGTGCCATGCTTTAAAACCTCCCATCCATAAAGCTAGCATAACCACACAATGAACACCTGTAGTTTTTTGCCAGCCAAAAAACTGGTCTTTTCCTTTGTAGATCCTCTCTCCTCCCCCTCTACCCTCACAAGTGCCATGGCCATGTTCTACCACCATGTAGGACCTGCCTGAGACTAAACAGATTTGTGGTGGCAGCTTTTGAATCCAAGTCCCCTTGTGTCTGAAGATCTACCCTTGGACTTCATAATTCATGAGTCAGAAAACCTTATTCTGCTGAAATGAAGCAGGTCTGACTTCAGTTTCTGTAAATTAAAAATCCTCACTGTATCCACTATGGGTGGTTGTGGAGATTAAATATATGTAAAAATGTGCCTTTAACACAGATGTTCAGGGAAGTGGCTTATTGTTATGGAATAACTTTATTATGAAAAATCTGGCTTTAGATGGGGAGATTTTGATTTGCCCAAAACCCCAGTGAATTCAACCCAGGATGCCTGCCTCTGAATCTTTTGCCCTGCTCTGCCTTCTGTATTTTTGGTCTTATCAGACAGGCCTACTGCATATGATGTCCTTATGGGACAGGATATGATCTTATGGGCCAACCTGGCCAGGTCTGGCAAATATCTGACACTTATGTACTCACATTCAAATTCCTTGCTCGTAAGAGACATCCCCCAAACTATTGTGTATTTCCAAATAATCTGTAATCGCTCCAAATCCTTAACAAACACTCCAGGCAGCCACTATTAAATGTTCTGAGTTGGCAAGTGAAATGAGGCCCAAGGTAGATTAAAAACAGATTGTGGCCGTATTTTGAAGCTCCTCCCATTAAGAGGAATTTGGGCTTAGAGGTGACTTGCTATGGCCAATGGAACCTTACAAACATGACACAGCACACTTGCATTTTGGGGTCTGTCTTCTCTTGCTGCTTTTGGAACTCAGCTATGAAGTGAAGAATCCCAGATCAGCCTGCTATATGCTGGTAACATGTGCCCCTGTTGCCCCTGTTGTCCACTTAACATGTGGGTGAGGCCATCTGAGACCAAACAGCCTAACTGATCTGCCAGTTCACTTCAGCCACATGAAAGCCCAGATGACATAAGGAGAACTGCCAAGCTAAGTGAACCCAAACTGCCAAGTCATAGAATACAGAGCTAATAAGTGTTGTTTATTAAAGCTACTAAATTTCAGGGTGGTTTGTTATACGACAGTTAGTAAGGTCCACTTACTATCTCTAATCTAGACCAACCCCTCCTTTTACAGCTAAGAAAACAGACCTAGCAAGGACAGAGACTTGGCCAGCTTCACAAACCTTGTTGGCAGCAATTCAGGGGAAAGCCCAGGCCTCTTAGCTCACAATCCAGTATACCCACTGGCTGCTATATTCTTTCAGGATGGCTGTGAGGATCACAAATGAGGCTTCAAATCTTGAAAACATCTAGAGAAGATCGATCCTTTGGGAAGAATCTGGTATCACATTTCTTCACCATCTCCTTTTGGAGTTTTCAAAGGTTAGAAAGAAAAATGACAACTGTTGAGCAGCAGAATGGGAGATGTCTTTGTTGCCCTGACTCAGGGAGAAAGGGCACGTGTATGCAGGGCTTTGGATGCCCACCTCCTACTCAAGGGCCCAACTGTGAGCTTTCCCAGGTGCTTTTCTGGGGTGCCAGTATGGAACTCTCATTCTCCCTCTGTCCAGCACATGTCTTGGTGCCAGGGGGATTAGGCAGGGCCTTGTGGGTAGAGGTGGGTAGGACAGAAGCCTTCTGCCCTTGAAGTGTCTTCCTTGCTTTTCTCACTCCTAGTCTACCCGCTCTGAAAAGTGAGTGCCTCAGTAAAGCACTTCTGGGTAGGGCCTGCATATAGCACTAGACTATAGAGACACAGGGATACAATACCTAGTGCTGTGTGCTCAGTGTGTGGTTCACTAGGCTCCAAACCATTTTCTTTGGACTCTGCCGAAGTTCCAGTCCAAGGCAGCTGTACCCCATGTTGTACGAATGCAGATATCAAGGCCCAAGAATAGCAGTAACCAGCCTGGGTATATGAATCCTAGAACTGGCTCTGGCTTGTGGGCGGGCAGTGAGGAGGAAAGATGTGGGCTCGGGGATTGGTGGAGTGTGTTCCACTAAGAACTCTTCAAGGGGCTGGGGTACTCTCTGTGGATCCAGCCCCTTTCTCTGCACATCTTCTTCATCTCCCCAGACTGAAGCCTTTTGATGGGATTCTCTTGGCCTGAAGGCCTCAGTTTTTGCCATTAAGCTCTTTATAAACCTCTACTGCCTACCACTGCTGCCAAGGATCCTTGGCAGGCACTTATGGGGACTAGGCAGTAGAGGTTTATAAAAATCTCACTGGGTAGTTAACACTCAAACGCAGAAATACCACTCAAATCATATCAAGAAGCAATGGCCAAGCAGGGGATTGGGGCTTTGGCTCAGGTTTGAGCTCTTGCTGCCTTAGGGCAGGCCTTAAGGCCCCTGCAGAGCTTAGAAATGTTAAAGCCTAGAGCCACACCGGGGCTTCAGAGTGCTGGTAGGCAGAAGGGCTGCCCAGTGATGGAGAATTGAGACAAGACACTTTGCTGCGGAGTCTAAGCACTGTCCTAAGCCTCTACTCTCAACCAAAACCTAGAGCCAAAGCCCACAGCGACGCTTTGATAGAAGCTAGAGAACTGGTGTGAAATGGAATTTTAAATAAGGATTCCAGTAGGCCTGCAAACTTTGAGGAACATGTGAAGATAGAGGGAAAACTCAAACCCTCTTCTGATGATAGGGTTGGATTTCCTAGGTTAGGGAAAGATGCTCAGAGGAGGGAACAAGCAGTTATTGAAGGACAGTCAGCTGATCTGGAAGACTGTTCAGAGTTGGTGATACTAGAACAGCAGCTTCATAATGAATGGCTCTTTCCCAGGTGAGAAAGTACATTCCAGGCTTGGAACAAAGCTACCCTCCCACAGCCCCAAACCAATGAGACCAGCCTAAGTGGCCACATTTGCATCTTCCAGTTCACTGGACCACAGTGAGTACTTGTAACCTATGAGGGATTCAAAAAAATCTGTGGTGGCAGCTGGGTCTCTCTTGAGAAAGTGAACATGGGAAAAATCGATCAATTCATGGTAGGAAACGGGAAAAGGCGTGAAGGTAGGAAGACACAATGGACCACGTGTAAGCTGTGAAGAAGCACAAGTTTGAAGGAATCTGGCCAGTTGTTACAAAACAGAACAAATGTCTAGACAGGTAGCCCAAGACAGGGCAGACTGGCCACATGTATCCAGATGCAAACTTCCTACTACTGGATGTCACTGCAGTGTGGCTCTATTCCTTGCTACCAAAAACTGCCTTGAGTGTGAAAAACTTGGATGGGCTGTAAAGCAGAGGTGTAGGTTTTGTGTGAGGGGAAGGAGAGAGAGGTGGTGACAAGAGACAGGACACACCAGAGTAAACAGCATCTTGTATCGCACATTCAGGAGGTGGGATTTTGTCCCAGTGATGAAGGCTCAGTTGGTATTTATGCAGGGAAAGGATATGTTTTGAAAAGAACACTGTGGTGAGTGGTGGCTGTTGGGAAATAGTACAGGGGAGAAGCTGGAGACTGGGAGGCTGGTGAGAGGACAAAGTCTGAGTGAAAAAAACCACAGTGTCCTAAGTCAGGATGGAGAAAGTGGTGGATTCGAGAATCATTGTAAGAGCTGGAAAAGACCAAAAGAGAGAGATGAGGCCTCAATCTACTACTAGGTAACCATGTGGGTCAAAACTGTTTGCCCTTTAGCCATTAAGATGCTCATAGGCCAGCATATCTGACCCTCCTCAAAAGCCCTACTGGCCATTTTTATTACCACTTTAGCTGAGGAGACTAGGTCCAGATAGATCAGTAATAGGCACTCTAGACAATGTTCTCTGGCAGGGAGGAGTGAAGGTGAGGACAGAAGGGTACAGCAGATCCACTTTCTGGTGAGCAAAAGGCCAAGATTCCTTGGAGAGAAAACAAATCATCCCATCTCAGAGCAGGTTGGGATCTAATCTCTATTGTCAGCGTTCCCTCCCTGTGGCATCCCCTCCAAACCTATAGGAAAACTCCAAGCCTGGGAGTGTCCTGGGGAAAGGGCAGATTGTGGGGAAACCCCTGTGCTCTGCCCTCTGGCCTAGGCAGTGCAGACAGGGAGGGTGCATGGGGAAGGGGTCGGCTGGTAACTCCACCTGCAGAGGATGTGATACTGGCTGGGATGCGTGAGGCGAGGAGGTGCTTGCTGCCAGCTCTCCTCTGGGGTATGGCATCCAGGGGTGGGTGCCTGGCTTGAGGCCTGGGACAGCAATGCCCTTCTGCTGGTGACCATTGTTCCCATCAGTTGAGAGAGAGGGAGGGAGTGGGGAGGGGGCGGAGAGAGAGACACGAAGAAACTAAGGCTGAGAAGAAGAGATCCTGGTGCTCTTGATAGTAGGGGTAGGAAAGAAGAAAGACTGGAAATGTCTATAGAGATATGCTGCCTGCACCCTGTCTCTGGCCTCACACTTTTCTGGCCGTGTAAATCTTGGGCAAGTCTCATTCCTTTCCTGAACCTCCATTTCTCACCAGAGCCCCTGTAACTGTTAACTAGCTTAACAATGTAAAACTCAGCCTCCCAGTAAAAACCATGAAGTCTGAAGAGGAAAAGACTACATATGTAAAATTTTCTAAGCCTAACTGTCCTGGAAGCCCTTGCTGGTGGGGCATTTTACAGCATGAATGTGTCATTTATCAAGACACTTCCCTGGGAACACTGATGTTTGAGACTTTCCTCCACCCAATCCTGTCTTACTCTGAACATGGCTCCAAGGGAATAGGTTAGAGATAGCCATAGCTAAATATGGTCTGCCTTTCCTTTAGGGTAGGGCAGAGTAGGGTAGTAAACAGTGGCCAGAGAGTGGCCTTTGAGGCCACACACCACTGGGTTCAAATCTAGGCTCTACCAATGACTCCTTGAGATCTTGTGAGATGTGGTATTTCCCTGCACCCGTTAGTGCCTCAGTTTTCACATCTGTTATATTGGTTCATTCATAAATTTGTGGGTTTGTAGATGAAAACAAATAAAGCAGGTGCAGCTCCTGACACACAGGACATTTCCTCCCCACGAAAGGATCAAGTGCAAGCCCCTACACTGATGATGGGCAAAATCCTCTCCTGACTACGCACAGCTGGAACTGCAGCCATAGCAGGCTCTTGGCCTCACCACATACCTGCTCTGTGCCTCTGCTAAGACTGTTCCTTGACGTGGAATGCTTCTCCTTCAATCATAAGTAGGCTGCATTGCACATCATCTCTCCTACCACTTGGGCATCCTTCTACTGTCATCCTGCTTACACTAGGTGGCAATGGTTTGTATCTTCCTTTAACAGACTAGGAGCTCCTCAGGGGTGAGGACAGGTGACATGGCTTAGAGTGTGCTGAGTAGGCCTGACTAGCCCACCCTGGTACCCATTCCCTTACTTAGCCTGCCAAGCCTCTGACACAAAAGGGTGTGGCACAATGGCTAGACAAAGAGGAGGTTTCATTGTTAGGCACAGTGATACATTGTCAGGTGTGCCTCTTGACACTTCCTTCCCAACCCAGAGGAAAGGCAAGATCTCTACTTCACTGCTCAGGACCCCTGTACCTGCTGCTTACTGCAAGGCCCCGTCCTCCACGTCTGTGTCCTGGCAGTGCTCCTGATAGGAAGGAGGTAAAAAGAGATCATATCATTCACTGTGAGCTCTGAGTCCTGCCGTGGGCCATTTGTCCAGAAAGACCACAGGGGCAAGGGTACATCTAGAGGACACAGTTGGAAAGGGGCAGGGATAGCCAAGGGGACTGACTATGGGACCAGCCAAAAAGGCTGGCTTGGAAACTTGACGAGGGTGGTCTGAGGTCCCCAGAGAAAAGAGGTGGGGGGTCAGTTAAGGGAGTTCTGGGGATGGTGAGGGGCATCTTTCTGTGTACAGAAGGAACTTAGATTAGAGCAGGCTGAAAGCCTTATAGATTGATGACCTCATTTTTGTGGCAATTCAGTCTTCCTTAGGGACTTTATAGGACTACTATATCTGAGAGAATAGATGAATTATCAGGCTAGGCTCAAAGAATGAGATGAGATGGGTGTGAGAAAGAACCTCTTGATTGTCATGCCATGAGCCCATCTCTCCTTATGCTGAACCCAGCAGTGATGAAAAGGGGAACTCGATGAAGAAATCTGGGTTTCAATCCTGTCTCAAATAATTAGCTTTGAGGCCCTGGGCAAGCTACTTGACCCTCCGAGTCTCAGTTTCCTCACAGGGTAAAATGTGGGAACAGCAATACTTTGCATAGTACAGGGCTGTTAAGGTTAAATGAAATTAGAAAGTATGGACTACAGGGTCTGGTGCTCAGTAAGTGTTCATTAAGTAAATGAGTAGCAAGTATATGACAGCTATCTCACAGACTCAGAGTCTGTCAACTTCCTACTCATTAAGCTCCCTGTCAAATGGCTTCCAGTCTCAGCCTGAGTCATTCCAATAATAGGCAGGGTGCTCCCTCCTTTACCAGACAGCCTTTTAGAGAATCCTCACATGGAAGTGACACCCATCTCCCAGTGGCTTCCTCAGGCAACCCCAGTCCTGTTCTCTGAACTCTGTAGACAGTATGTGCCCCTCGTGCTTGATTTTCCCCTTCTTCAATCCATGTGGACAGTGGAGGCCACAATGGGGTCTAAGCTTGGAAAAGGTCTGCCCCAGTCCTCAATGGGACTGCTGATGGTGTCTGATGAAGACACTTGCCCCCTGCTTGTTCTTCCCTCTTTCCCACAGGACTAGAACCCCTGGGAAAGAGGGAGGTGGGATCTCACATGGGGGCCGACCAGCTCAGAGGTTCCCCTTCTGTTGCCCTTCTGATACCAGGAGTGCAAAGCCCAGCCCAGCTGTGCCTCTGTCCAGGCCCTCACCAGTTCTTCCTCACTATGTGTCAGCAGCCCCACCTCATCACCGTTGTCGCGGGTCTGTGCTTCTCCCAGTGGCATGCTTGCCTTGGCAACCTTGTCTTCTTGGGGAGCTTGTGGTTGGCTGTTGCTGCTACTACTGCCACCACCACTGCTGCTGCTGTCGCCGCCTTTCTTCTTGCCATCTTGAGGGGGAAGGAGCAGAGGAGGGGAGAATAAAACAGCTTGGGGCAGCGCCTTAATGGAAGCTGGCTTCAGCGCGGTGGGTCCAGGTGGGCCACCCCAGCTCATCCCCCCCATGTACTGCCTTACCATGCTCTGCCCTGTGCCCTGGTCATAGAACTGGGTGAGGATCCTCAGAGGCTGACCTGGATTGGCCTTTTGCTCCTCAGCAATCTGCTCCAAGCGGCCTAGCAGGGCGTCGATGTTAGACTTGATCTGTGTCAGTTCTGTCTTGATGGCTTGCAGCTCACTGCTCTTTACTGGGGGTGGAGGGGGAAAGGGGTGTCACCTAGGGGCTGGAAGCTTGACACTAACACAAAACCCCAGCCCCATTCTGTCAACTAGGAAGGCAATGCTTTTTTGGTTCCTTCCAGAGAAAAGGCCTCTTCCCAAGACTTCCTGGAGGTCACCCCTACAATGATCAGTCCATCCTTCTGAACCTGGCTGTCTTTTCCTGAGACCACTCAATCTTGAAAGGGACTAAGGATGAACAAGATGCACATTGTGTGCCTCTGAGCAAGATATGTGTCTTTGTGTTCCAGGATGGGGCTAGTCTTTTAAGGTGTATAAATGTGGGTCTTTTGGTATCAGATTTCCTGGGTGCTTGACTGCAATGTGTATACACCAGAGTGAATGTAGAGTAGATGGACATATGTAGACCTATCCTTGTTCTTACTAGAGGAAAGGTGACGTTATCTCACTGGGCACCATGTCATAGTATTGAACTCTGCCTAATCCATAACCCTCCTTCTCAGATGACAGCCTTTTACCCTTAGAAATGCATGAAAATCCTCACTTGTTGGGTTGTGTTAGAGCTGCCAAACTGGGAATTTTGTTCCTTTATCTATTTTCCAATGTAAAAAAATGTGATTCATTATTTTGCTAATGATAAAATACAAATTATCTAGGAAGACGCAACACTCACACTTGATCTTGGCTGAGCTGGTAGTGATGGCTGTGGAGCGGGCAAAGAGCTTGACGGGTATGGTAGTCTTGACACGTCGGACCAAAGGGACTGTGACCCGGGGTCGCTTCACAGGGACTGCCCTGGGCACTGGCACAGGTGACAGGCAGCCCCGGTAGTCGAAGAGCCTGTGAGGGAAAATGAGCCAGAGGTTGTGGCATGGGCCATAGCCATGAGGGGGCAATGTGGCTCTAGCCCGCATGTGTGTGGCTGGTGAGGGGTTGGGAGGCCTGGCCCACACCTCAGCCTGCTCCCAACAAGCCCTGGATTGAAGAGGAAGGGCTTTCTGTACTCTAATGGCTGCTGGGATCCTCACTACATCCACCTGTTTTATTATCCAGGACAGGTAAGAGCAGGGGAAGCAGCAGGTGGTAGTGGTGATGCTCCATTCAAAAGAGGAGCAAAGTGAGACCAGTTCAACAAAGGAGACTTCCTTGGTCACTCTGACACCTAGGCCTGCTCTATTATGTGACTTGGCTTCTGCTCAGTAAACTGCCACCTCAACCTCTGGTTAAAGTCTGCAAAACTCAAAGCAGCACAAATTCCCAGCTAGGAATAGAGAGGTGTGAGAGTAGGGCCCAGTCCCTAAGCCTGCTTGAGCTTCACTTTCCCTACTTGCCTAATGGGAATGGCTACTCAAATTCAGTGTGTACCCAAGTTTGCTGTGAGGGTAAAGCATGAAAGAGTTTGGTTAAAAACACACTTAAGAAGGTGTGACAGGGAAAGGTCAGGGTACAGAGACCTTCAGTTCAGGAGCCTATGACCTCAAAGACATGAGGCTGAACTCTAAGCCGCTTCCTCACTCTGGGCCTCCTTTCTTGTTCCACCTCAGAGATGAAGGCCAGAGGTCCAGTATGATATAAAGGTTGGGTATCAGACATCAGGGCTCCCAAGCTGTGTGCCATCCCCAACCCAAAGCCATCATCTAGCCCTCTCCAGGAGGGCTCCTTTTCCTGCTGACAGGCAGAAACTCAGTAGGCTGGGAAAAGGTCTCTCCCACCATATCTGTTGCTACCACTTTCTGCAGGGAACTGCAGCCTCAGGGGATACTCACTGGGACAACTTTCCTGATGACAGCCAAGAAACCTGCCATCACTGGGCAAGTCAATGTCCCATTCCTTGATACTCCTTTGTTCAGAGAGTCCCTGACCTAGAAGTGGTGATGGCTGGAGATGCAAATTCTTTGGAAATGAATCCAGTCCCAGACCTGCTTTTCTTGCCCCAAGGGGAGAGGACAGCTCTGGCCTTGGTCAGAATCACTGAACCAAAGAATCTCAGAGCTGGAGGAATCCTGAGACATGACTTGGTGCAAAACCATTTCACAAACTGGGACAGGGATTTGTCCAAAGTCATATAATCCATTCAGTGGCAGAGCTGAGATGAGCACCTAAATCTTCTGACTTCTAGGCTAAGGTACTTTCCACTATGTACCACACAGTTTCCTGAAACCATTCACAAGTGGAAAAACTAAGACTCAGAGATGTTCTGTTCTTCCTGGGCTCCCTGAGGTGGGTTGAGCTGGAGGGAGGAAGAGAAGCAGGGCAGAGGGTTTGAGTCAGTCCTCACCATGACTTCCATTCAAGAATGTCGCTAGTGCCATTGGAGTGGGAGCCCACAGACGGGGCTAGAGTCTGGGTAGGCCTGGGAATGGCGAGCAGGTCACAGCCCACAAGGGACTAATTAGACCTCCAAATGGCTGCTGGCCCCTTGACTCTTAAATATAAGACCAAGAGGCTCAGACTGAGTTCTGGAGTTCCTTCTAGCTGCTTGGACACCTCACATAATGATGGAGACTGAAAAGAAGTATGAGGGCTCAAACTCCCCACAACTGGCACTGAACCCTGTTGTATATTCCAATTAGCGACATTCATCAGCCCTTGGCTATACAGTCTCACTTCAGGACTAGAAGGAGAAGGAACAGTCAGAATGTCAGACAGTGTGGTATGGTGGTAAAAAGCTCTGGCCTGGGCACCTGCAGAATGACTCCAGTCTCAGTTCTGCCATTGACTGGGTAATGCCTGGCCATACCTCTGGGCTCTGGTTCCCATTTAGAGAATGAGTGGTCTGTACCAACAATCTCTTAGGACCTTTCCAGTGTGGCTGCTTCATGCCTGGGCACGTCCCTCCCCTGCTCACCTGTCATGGAAGTCCTGGTAGTAATCATAGTCAAAGATGTAGCCACTGGGGAAACAAAGGGAAGAGGCCAGAGCTTAGGGACGGCCACTCAGCCCGCTCTCCACAGGCCCTCATCTCCAAGTACTTCCACAAGTTCTAGGTTCAGCACACTATCACACTAACAAGAGTGCCCCACCTGTATATGGCAGATGCTGCTCTCTTTAGCCCCTTGGGTCTGTTGGGCTTGGGCTCTCCAGCCATGTTGATGTCTGTGTGGAGGGAGGAGACAGAGTTGGAATGCTGGCATGACAGCAGTGTGTCCACACACATCAACCTCATGCACACATGGAGCAATTTATGTGCTTACATGATGTATACATGGACTTTACTCACCGATGCTGCCAACAAAGGTCTTCATATACTTAGTGTTCAAACATCAGACTCATACACTCAGACACACCCATGCATGCTCACAAACATATTGCTCACATACACACACCATGTACAGCATACATGTCTGCATTCGCAAGTACACTCATATAAACATATGCGTTAGGTACATGAGAACACATACACAGACCCACCCTCACATACACATTCACATATCCAGGTAAGAAAGTACGGATAACATATGTACTCTAAAATACACACAGTCTGGCTCCCAACATCATATCCACAACTGCCCATATGCAAATGAGCTAATACATATTCACAAAAACATTCTACCAAACATCTTTATGCCTAGAATGGTACTTAGTACATGATAGGGTCTCAATAAATATTTGGTAAATGAATGCATATCTGCTTACACACTCAAGTAAATTCTCTCTCATACATACTACACCTATACATACAAAGGTATGTGTCCACATAGCTCTACATATTCAGTCACATCCATGTAATTTTATTCAAGAATATATAGATATTACTTCTCAAACATACACATATACACAAAAATACGTGCACATACTTGAACACTGAGGTAGACCACTAGCAAGTGTCATATCGCATGTACATGACACTTAAGCCAAGGGTATGTGCTTTGTCCTTGTGCTCCCAGCCCCTCCTCCAAGCTCTCAGAAAGAGTTCTAATCTAAGTCATCTATAGCCCAATGTAACAGCCTGTGCTAGTCTACTCTGTTCCCTTTCTCTGGGGAATCTTAATTTTAACTGGAACCGTAAAGTCTGTCATTAAGAACTGAGAAAGCACGATCAGGACAGAGTGTTTTCCAGGGGCTTCTCAATTTCTCCCCTACAGATATTAACTTCGTAATTACTTAATTTAAAACTCAAATACAGCTTATTTTATTTATATCTCAGAGCAGTGACAGTGGTGGAAGAAATGGAGAAGGGGACTAAGAGGGAAACTAGAGAGCTACTATGGAGAATACTAGAATGCTGTGGAGAGGCTTACCCAGGGTCTGCCCGGCCAGCACTCGCCCATTCTCTCCCAGCACAGCTGCCCTGGCATGGCGCTCACTGGCATACTGGACAAAGGCATAGCCCATGTGCACAGAACAGCCAGCCACACGGCCATACTTGGAGAAGATTGTCTCCACATCTGACTTCTTCACCAAAGCTGTGTTGAGGTTTCCGATGAAGACCCGAGAGTTGATGGACTTGGGGTCATTCTTGTTGGTTATGTTGCTTGTCTGGATCTTCAAGGACATGGTGGCCACCTGAAGAGAAAGAGGCTCTGTGAAACTGGGTTTCCAAGCTAGGCTCAAGGGCTGCCCATAGCCCATATCCTGGCTAAATGGATTCTCTTGCCTTCCTATGCACTTTACTTCTACAGCATCCAGCCTCCTTGTTTCTGCATCTTGTTTTCTTGTTATATTAACAAGGGTTGCCACTTACTGGCTGCTGACTTCATGCCGACCGGGTACTTTATGCATATTCCCTCATTTGGTATTCATATGGTGTACAGAACCGCAACATTTTACGAGGGAGAAAGCTCACATTCAGAGAGGTCACAATGTTAGTGAATGGTAGGGCTGAGATGTGAACTCCGATCTGCTTGACTCATTCTTTTGAGTCTACTTTAATGCTGATCCCGAATGTTATTCTATTCAGGATCCAAATCTGAAGGTCTTCCATAGCTCTTATTCTGTTCCTTCAATGTAGAAGCATGGCAAAGTGGTCACATGGTAATGGTAATTTCAATTAATGTTTGCTCTAGAACAATACCATATGATGAAAATTGCTCAGACTGATCCAGGCACATATCTGTTTGTTTGTATTGGTACCAGTTATTTTGCAAAAAGTTTGCTACCCTGGGTAAACCACACTGGGAACTCACTGTGGGCTAAGGGTGATATACAATATTAAATAATCCTAAGACTCCATAAGTGAATGTTATTTCTATTACTCATATTTACTGGAAACTGATTGACAAGTTCATTAACTTACAAGTAATGGACATTCCAACCCAGGTCAGTTCACCCCTAAAGCCTGTTTCTTTCAACTTTATCACTCTGTTTCCCAGAGCTAAAGCCAATTTCAATACTATAATAAGTCAGCATATTTATTGGAAAATTGTTTTTAATTGATTTTTTAGAGTTACCCATTTTTAATCAAATTTTGCTGTTTGGCTTAGAACCAAGACTGCACCTACTCTTTGCTCTCTGTACTCTGGCAATGTCTTTTATCCCAAAGATTGTACATATTTTTCTTACTCCTTCCCTGGACAGGTTGCAGGTGGGCACAGGCTCCACAGGGAAAGGGGACAGGAAGCTCGGTTTCAGGAGAGGTCTACATTGAAGCCTTGGAATCTGCAGCTCCTGGCCTGTCTCCTCATTGGCCTGGGCTGAAGGAACTCCCTTTAGGAACCCTCCCACCCTAGGACCACTTCTGAAGGCGCCAAAGATCCCAAACAGCATATATAAAAACTCTCACTAGCCTACCAGCCTAGTTATCTAATATTTTGGGGCAGAGGAAGCTTCTTTTCAGTGAACTGGGAAAGAGAAATAAATCTGTACCTTTTAAAGACTCTTTTCTCCTAAATCCTTCCAGTCTGGAAGCTGGCATATTCTGAGCAGCAGGTGGCATTGTTTACATGGGCTGGCCCTGAGACAGTAACTCTGGGGAGGAAACTACTCTTGGGGCTGGGCTTGCAGTAGGATATGGATAAAGTGGGATCAGGAGTGTACCAGGCCAGAAAAAGGGGCTGAGTGGGTACCATCACCAGAAGGGCCTGGTCCCAGCTGTGGAACTGACTTGGGCAGGACAATCTTGTTACTCAGTTTACCTCTGGTTCCAATCATCCACATTTATTAAGCAGTGAGACACAAAGGAGATTACCTGTGAAAACACTCATATGCAGCAGGAGTTGCTCAATGTATGCTGGTCTCCTTGGGCTGCCCTTTCCTTTGTTCTGACAATCCCTCTCCTAACGGGATGATAAGCCATTCAACAGATATTGCTTATCCATGGGTATACAAGAAGTTTATGGGGCTCCTATGTGGACATCAGATGGTGGTTCAGCTCATAGCTGTAAAGTTTTGGTCCAGGGAGAAGCCACCTGCTTTGGCTGGAGACAGCTAGTCAAGCCTGGGGTGTGGATAGAGAGAAAGAGGAGAGCTAGGAATAATGGTTCAGGAATCTGTTGATGACTGCTGGCTCTGCATAGACTGACCTGGCATAGACATAAGGGGTATGGGTTCCCTCAGACCTCTGCTGGAAGCCTTTAACACCACTGAGCAAGAAGCATTTGCTAAGCATTTGTGCTTGGTACTGTGGTGAGATCAGCATTTACTGCTTGACTGGTGAGTAGTCTTTCAGGTGTGACTCTACTGGTTTTTTCTCTCATCTCTTGGGTATAGGACAATGTACATAAAAGAACTTTGCAAACTGAGAAGTCCTTTACAAGATCTAGTAATCAGTCTGGCTATAAGTGCTTCTCTGTTCTGACACTGCCATTTGTGGTCCCCATTCTAGAAGAGGGTCAACATCAGACTGGAGCACATTATGTATGATGCCAGGGAGAGGCAGCTAGAAGCCATGATCAGTTTTCAGATACAAGATCAGTTTTCTGATCTGTAGAGAAGGGACTTAGGAAGTGTATGCATGTGGCTGCTCTGGGTGAGAAATCTGCAGTGCCAAAGAGAAATGCCCACCTGGAACATGCTGTAGATACTCAACCCCTAAACTCGTCTAAACAGCCTCAATCCACACTCCTTTGGAGGGCAGGCAGTACTGCTGTTGTGAGGACTCCCTAAGCCGAAGGGGACAGATATCTGCAAGAATGTGGAAAGGCTTGAGTGACCACACATGTCCATAAGGCTCCTTAGAGTGATTGATGGAGTTGGGGCTGGGGCCAGTTGGGGCTAGGTATCCCTGAGCTGCCAGGTTCTAGTACAGAATTCCTAAGAGCCTAAGAACTCTCCATTCAGACATGGCATTTCAGGTTGTTATGAGCATCACAATTTGTGAGCTTCACTTATAACCTTCAAATATTAGACATATGATACATGGGTCTCCATTTGTGCCCTTAGTACTCTGCCCTGCAAATGTTAGAGGTCTGGCCTGACAAAGCCTGGGAAACAATAAGTGCTGAATACATGTTAGGGAGGGATTGATAAGGGTTATGTCCCAGGAGATAGTGAGAAGGTCTAATTGTGGTCGGCTTTCAACGTTAGGGGTCACTGGGGCAGAGGTCCCTTTCTAATTTCTGACCCAAATACCCACCTCCACAGACCAACCATCCCCAGCCAATTATTTCTATTGTTGACAAAACATGCCAAACTCTGTAAAATATTTTAAAAGATTTATTCTGAGCCAAATGTGAGGGATCAAGGCCTGTGGCACAATCCCAAGAGGTCCTGAGAACATGTGTCCCAGATGGTTGAATTACAGTGTGACTTTATACATTTTTAGGGAGTCAGAAGTTACAGGCGAAATATAAATCAATACGTGTGAGATTCATGTTGGTTCGGCCTGGGAAGGCAGGATATCTCCAAGAGGGGACTTTGCAGGTCATAGGTGGATTAAAATATTTTCACTGGCAATTGGTAGAAAGAGTTAAGCTCTGTGTAAGTCATTTTGAAGTCAGTAAAGAAAATGCTGAGTTGAGGTAAGGGGAGGTTGAACAAGCCAGGGTAGTTCTTTTTTTTTTTTTTGTATGTGAATGTTTGTGGCTTTATTTGTAATCACCAATAAATGCAAATAATCCAAATGTCTTTCAATGATTAAAAAGATTTTAGGTTAAAAGAGTGGTACATCAATACACTGAAATACTAGTAGATAATAAAATGAATTACTGCGCCATGAATTACACTAAGTAGCCAGTCTCAAAAAGGTGCAAATTGTGACATTCTGGGAAAGGCAAAAGTATTCAAACAGAAATGTGACCAGTGGTTGCTATGAGTAGGAGATGACATGAGTGAACTCTATTTTTATTTTTATTTTTGAGTTGGGGTCTCACACTGTTGCCCAGGCTGGAGGGCAATCACAATCACAGCTCACTGCAGCCTTCTTGATCTTCTGGGCTCAGGCAATTCTTTTGCCTCAGCATCCCAAGTACTGACCATAGGTGCAAGCCACCACACCCAGCTAATTTTTTGATTTTTTGTAGAGACAGTTGCCCAGGCTGGTCGCAAGGAATCCTCCCGCCTCGTCTTCCCAAAGTGCTGAGATTACAGGCATGAGCAAGGTTCTTGATATGTAGATGAAACCTCATAGATTACAGCCCTTAGAATAGATGGCAAATGTCTGTTATTCAGCCTCTAAAGGTGTTAGACTCTCCTTAATCCCTCCTAAATTCAGGAAGGCCTAGAAGGGGACAGATCTGGCTATGTGAATGGAAGTTCTCCAGAGATGTAAATAATTTCCCCACAAAAGACAGCTTTGCAGGGCTATTAAAAATATGTTAAAGAAATAGATTTGGCATACAATATTTTTATTTCCTTTTGGGCCTACTATCTATCATGTGACACTGCACCAGAGCTGGTTGAAATTTGGTACCTAATTGCCAGAGTTTGTTTTGTCAGTCTTATGGTTGCCATTTTAATGTTAATACTGGTTGGTTATGCCTAAAACTCCATGGAGGGGAGGGCAGCATAACAAGGCATGTTCAACTTCTTTTTCTGTCATGGCCTGAGATTTAGTTTTTCAGGTTTCCCTTGGCACAGAGGGAATCTGTTCAGTCAGTTGAGGGGCTGAAAATTTTATTTTTGGTTTACACAATGCTTTTCAAGATTTCCCCTTAGGTTGGAGTGGGAGCCCTAGAAAATAATGACATCTGATTCAGCAGAAGCTACTTGACTTGATAGACTTATTCTGTAACTGGACCCCCTGCCCACTAGGCTCTACCTCATAGGTTAGCTGTATAATTGAGAGCAACATGTCTGCAGTCCCCAAGGGTCCTAAACTTAACAATGAGCTGAGGTGAGGTGGGTAGCGGGATTGTTCTTGGTGGTGGAGGGGAGGGACAGAGAAAAACAGATTTGTTCCTAGAGACCTCTGCAATGTCAGGTTAGTAGGGAGCTTAGTGAGCATGGAGCTTATATGCCCTCACTCAGAACAATAGAGGGGAAGAGACTTGGCTAGGATGCCACAGCTAATGAGCAGCAGAGCCGAGATTACCCCATGGGTCCTTCGGCTCTAAATGAAGGATTCTTATATTCCATTTTCCCACTTGGGCTGGTGAGACAGGCCTCAGGAGAGTGAGAAGCTGGTAGAAGGCATAGC